GGGCTCCCATTAAAAAACATCAGTGCGCTGCTCAGTCTCCCACATTACAGACATGAGAAAAGCCCCATCTGCGTGTTCTGTCCCGACAGAAGCAATCTCTGTGGTCATCACAGAGTCTGACCCTTACGCTCTCCTGGGGGAGGAGAGGGAAGTGGAGCTCAAGATTTAACGGACGCCGGCACGGTTTAAGAGTCGTTGTCATTAAATGTCTCAGCAGGCTTTCCCACCCCCTCCTTACTCTTTTTTCAAAGCAAGTACTAGCAGGCAATGATGGAATAGAAGGTTTGGACCAACCTTCCTGATAAGGTCAATTAGGAGAGCAATATGAAATACACACAGCATCTTCATAGGAGCATGAAAGAGCTATTACACTGTGGAAACACCAAGCTGTCATCCAGAAGTAGATGGCAATCTGGAGGGAGCCTAGCAGCTGGGACTTCCTTGCTAGCCCCACCCAGAGGAGGCAGCTGAGAGGCTAGGCAGCACTCTGCCAGCTCTGGGGGAGTAGGAGCCAAAAGCTGGAGTCCAGGGCATACCAAGAACGAGGTCCCTGGCCAAACTCCCATACTTAGGATTGGGACCTCCCCCCCAAGAAATGCGTCTTGGAATAAGATTGAAATAAATGTAAGTCTGCCCTTGATAGATTGCAGGCTGACTTCAAGATACTTGGATGGCTCTTAAAATCTCGGGGTCTGAAATTAAACCGATTTTGGAGACCTAATGCCCCTCAAGCACGTGGCTCTCAGAGAGAAAAGCACAGTGCTAAGAATCAAATGACTTCTATACGGACAACTGAATACCCCCAAGAAAAAGAATGAAATTGGACCCTTACCTCACACTATATGCAAAGATTAAATGAAAATGGACCTCAGATTAAATTTAAGAGCTAACATATAAAACTATTAGAAGAAAATATAAATCTTTAGGGCCCTGGATTAAACAATGGTTTCTTAGACACAACACAAAAAGCAATCAAAAGTAATGACACGCTATTACATATTACATACAACATGGACGGACCTTGAAAACATTATGCTAAGTAAAAGAAGACAGTCACATGAGGATACACCTTGTATGAGTGCGCTTCTACAAAATGCCAAGAACAGGCAAATCTATAGGAACAGAAAGCAGATGAGTGGTTGTTTGGGGCTGGGGCAGGGGCGGGGCAGGGCAGCGACTGTTAGCCTAGGGCGCACAGCGTTTCTTCTTTGGGTTGATGAAATGTTCTGGAATTAGATTATGGTGCTGGTTGTACAATTATGGGAATACACTAAAAACCACTGGGTCAGACTTTAATAGGGTGAACTGTATGGCATGTGCATTATACTTCGATAGAGCTGTTATTAAGAATTATTACAATAATTTTTCCCAAATATAATGACCAGCAAGATCACCATATAACCCGGCACACGAGACGACAAAATGACACGAACAAGGAAAAGCTCACTAAGTAACAGAACCAGGTCCAAACTCCACCAAAGACACTCTCAGAACAACCATGCCTGTGATGTGCTCGTTATGGGGAGAAAACCCAAACAAACATCCCTAAAAGAAGTAACTAGAAGTTCCAGAACTGAAAACAGCCATAGCCAAAATTAAGCACCCAGTGAACAGGCATAAACTTAACAACAGGCCAGACACAGTTGAAGAGAGAAATGGTCAGCTAGAAAGCAACAAGAAAAAATTAACCAGACTAAAGGCAGGGGCGGGGGAGGACAGTAAAGTACAAAGATAAAAGCAGGATACAGTGAAAAAGTCCAACCTATATTTAAAGGTAGTTAGGGGGAAGGGAATGGGGCAAAGTTATGTTTTAAGGGAACTGGCTGGAATTTTCCCCCAAAACTTATGAAAAGACCAATCCACAGATTTTAAAAGCCCCGGGAATCCCAAGCAGAATAAATAAAAAAGAATCTACATCCAGACACGATGAAATGAAGCCAGAAAAATCAAAGTGGCAGAGAAAGTTCTACAAGCAGCTTGCAAACAGGAGGCAGATGGTCTTTTAAAGACAAAATTTGAAGTGATTAATGTCAAAGTAACCAGAATATTCCACTGTCAAACACACAACTATTCAGGTTAATCCATGCTTGCCTACACTTGAAAAAAAATACACATTAAAATAAAAACAGATCTCAGGAAGAGGTTTGGGAATTCAAATGGCTCACAAACAGAAGCAACAAGTTACCTTCAGCCACTGCTCGGCCTGCTCCTTACTCTGGACTGCAAGAACAAGGGGGTCTGTGCCCTGCTGGGTGATCTTCAGCTCGTGTTTCTTTTTCTTGCTGTCTTTCGGGATATACGTGATGGTGCAGCCTTGGAGGGGAAGTTCCATCTGAGGCTGCTGGTCCTTGGAACTTTTATAGCACTGCATTGAACAGGAGAAATCCAAGTTAGGTTATCGACACTGAAAAACCCAAGCACAACAAAAACGGGGGTACTGGCGAGGCACCTGAATGCATGAAGAGTGGAGATGCTCAGAGCCTGGAAGACAGATCTGCAGACTCACAGGCATCACACACACAGCCCCGCTCCACACGCCGCCTCCCCTCCACTTAAGGGCAAACCCATCTGCTGCTGGTTAATTCAGCAACGTCTGCGTGACTCCGTGGGAACAAAGTCCCTGCTCTGACAGTCCTCCTGTTCCAGTGGAGCTTCCTCGTCAAGTGACATGAATGTAATACATTAGATCTGCTGAAATGGCACAGCCGGCCCGAACGTGGCAGACGGTACCGTGGGAACTTTATTCCACAGTCTATGCCCCTTGGTATCCACCTGTCTCATCTCTATTCTCTTTCTGAAAGGCAGACAAACGACTTTATGAAGAGTATAAATAGCAACATATAATATACTAAATGTCTGCAAAAGTTTCCAGCTGAGTAGAGGGTCCACGCTGCTCCGTTTGCATCGCTGACATTCGCTCTAGAGCTCTCAGCACTGTGGCGAGATGGAGCCTGAGTTCCCATCAATTCTCCCTTAAACTAGATCTGTCAAACCTCGAACCAGATCTCTGCCCAGAGGTCTCCTGTGCCCGCTTTGGATTTGTTATATTACTGGGTCCCAAACGCACACCTCGTAATGGACATACACGGTCTCAGAGCTCAGGTACCTGGGTCCTAGCTCTGTCGCTAATTTAATCCGGGTTCCTGGAAGTTGGTTAAGCTTTCTGAGCCTGCTTCTTCATTTGTGAAAGGAATCATTGCTGTTTTTATTATTTTACTGAACTACATTAAATAGTTAATAACAATGACAGCTGCTGCCAAGGACTGAGTGTCAGCACTACACGAGGCATTTCATACATCTTATTTAATCATCACAGCTGTCCATTTTGCAGCTTAGGAGAATGAGGTCCAGTTGATTAAGTGACTTGCCCAAAGTCAGGCAAACCGAACAGTGTGGAGCCAGGACTCCAGCCCCAAACTAAGTGCAGAGTCTGAGTCCTGGACCCCAGTCCACTTACTGATGAAAGAATTAATAGAAACCGATTTTCAGAAAGATGTCGAGAGTCCCTCCTATTTCACAGTTCCAGAACCTTGGCTCCCAAATGGCACAGGCCAGGAGACAATCCACTTTTTAAAAAAGTCCAACTGACAGTGGCCCTGTCCGAAAGGAAGAAAAAAATACACCAAAACCAACTAGCCTCAGACTGCTATGAATGTTTACCATTTACCAGATTTTTCACATTCTCAGTAAGTGCATTAAAAAAAAAAAGGTGAAAAGGATACTATACTAACAGTACTGCGGAAGGAATTAGAAAGGAAACTTTGTAGCTCTTTTTTTCTTTAAATGCCTCAAGATGTATGTGTTGTCAGTGATGTGATAAACGAGACTCTGGAGATGTCTACAGGTTGGATTCCCAGGGAAGATGATGCTAAAACAGAGTGGCGCACAGGGTATTTAGTGAGGTGTGTCCTTAGAGAGCTACACCTGTAGGGGGAGGGGAAGGAAGCAGGACAGGGCAGAGGGCGAAGCGAAGCTAAAATGCAGTCCAAATACGAGGCCCTGATCCTGCGGCAGCTCTGGAGCTGGAACGCGCCATCAGGCTTGTCCCGTGAGGGGGACAGTCACACCCAGGGATCGCTTGGGATGCAGACGCCCTGGGAAGGGAACATGAACTTGGCCAGCTGTCTGCCAGCAGCCCTCCCTGCAAGTGAGGGAACACATGCTTCAGCCTAAAGGGGAACATGACAGTGTGAACCACAGAGCCACCTGGGTGCAGAAAGGAACAGGTTCTGGAAGTAAATAAAAAACGCTGGTGATCGTGGCGCCCATGGGAAGATGGGCTGGGAACATTTAGGGGAAGATACTGGCTTTTCTTTTCTATTTATAGCTTTCTGTTCTGTTAAAACTTTGAAAGTACTTGCTTTTATTACTGTTAATTTCTTTTTCACCATCAGCAGGGGTCATCCGGACAGCTGGATCATAGGTCATTTTTGAACAACAGAAAGCTTCATAAGAAAACTTTGAGTCTGCGTGTCATCAAAGACAGTGCTTGCACATGGCTTTCCATTCATCTCCTCCTAAATATTTACAACTACCCTAAGTGGTGGGTATTATCACCCTGGTTTTGGAGATGGGAAACCTGGTAGGAGGTGGAAGAAACAGAAGAGGATGAGGGAGGGAAGGAAGAGACGGGAGAGGAGAGAGAGGCACTGGGGCCAGGGTAGGGACACGACACCGCCAACTGACCACCGACCTTGTGGACGCCACGGGCTCCCCGCAGCGCGTTTTAAAACTTCTCTTTTGATCGAGAGTCAACTGTGTATTTTTAAAACATTTATATAACATACGAACATCTTGCAGCCATTATGTCAGATTGTAAATAAGGACTATATTAATCTTTTTCATCTTTTTTTTCATTCTTTAGTTTAAAATTCCCCCATGGCATCATCATTTTTGGCATATTCTAAATTTGGGAGAAATTCAGGCCACACATGTGGAAGAAACATGTACTCTCACGGAAAAAAAAACAACTTTTTTTTAAAACAAAGCCATTAATTTAAAAAAATACAATGTTCTAAGAGTCTAGTAAAATAAGATTCCCATAATTCACAAAAGAAAGTTTAAAAAAAAAGGGTTACCTGCTTCACTTAAAAGTGAGATACAGAATCACACGTTCTCGTGTGCTGTTTAATGATACAATTTTGAGTGATTTTCCCCCAGGGTTAATTTGAAGGAAAAACAAAAAACAAACACACACTCTGAAATCCATGATTCCAATAGTCAACCATGGTTTCTAAAGCTGCGAGGGGCGGGAGAGGACGAGGGACAGCGGGCCCGTCATCCTCAAAGGCTCCTGCTTCCTTACTAGGGTCCCTGGGGGAAGCGTGCCTGCAGCAGAGGGTCTGCCTCCTGCCCCTGCTTCCCTGTTCCTTACTCTACCTTTCTGTTCGGCCTCTCAGAGTTACAAAAAAAGAAAAAAGAAAAAAAAAGAACAGTCGGCCTTTAGCTTTCCAAAAGAATTTCCTTTCCCCGGCACTCTCCCCCACACCCCGCCAGGCCTGCCCGGCCCACTTCGATGACCTGGCTTGGAGGAATTCACTGACTCACTACAGATGACAGAATCCATCCTGTAACTTCTGGCAAGCTAGAGCAGCGTGCATTTCCACTGACATGAACCGCAGACGCTGGCCGAGGTGGGGGTGGTTTTGCCCGCTGGTTGCTTTAGGGAGCTGGCGGAGCCAACAGCGTTGAAGACCCAGTAGGCTCGGCCAGGGCTCCCTGCCCGCCCGGCCCGGGCCAGTGCCCGACCGCTGTGAGCTCAGCACGGGGCATGGAGCCCGGGCGCTTCCCTCTCCTTCCCGCTGACGTTAACGCTGCCCAGGTGCACATCCCATCCAGTGAGCCGCCGACACCACCTGACCCACTCGACACGACAGCCACCACCTCGCAAGGCCCTACCAGCAGTTTGGTGTCTTTGATGACACAGAGCAGCTTGGTCCACTGGCCAAAGCGCTTCTTCCGCAGCAGGAAGGCACAGATCTTGGCATCCTTCACCAGGTCCATGGAGGCCTCCTCCGAGGGCCACTGGTGCCGCGTCTTCTTCCCCTTTCCATCCTCCTCCTCTTCATCGTACGACTCGTAAGAGCTGCTCATGGCATCAGAGTCATAATCTGTCAACAAGAAAAAAGGGAAGAAAAGTAACAAACCGGGTTACATCACCCTTATCCTGAAGACAACCCACAGACTCACGCTATTACAGGAGCGAATGAGGAGGGGACCAGGAAACGCTGATTAGCAAGAGCAGGGGAAGTAACTGAGACTTGGACAGTGGAAATTCAATGAAAAGTTTTAAGCTGAAGTGACTAAGAAGTCTGTATTTACAGAAACCACTCCTGGACCACTGGACATGGGCCTGGTATGCTGCAGACTCCATGTTGTTAAATCCTTGCCGAGGTCTTGCTGGGCGGTGTGACCCCCACTCTGCAGCGAGTTTCACCAAAGGAAGCGCCCACCCACAAAGTTTGCTCAAGTCGGCAAGCCCCCCTCCCTGCTGGCATCACCACACGCACAGACCCTTCCTAAGAGTCAAGATCCAACCCAAGGCCACCCCTCCTTCAGGTCATCCTTGGACTTTCAGACACTTACACCTGCCCCCTGTCACTCGGCAGTGCGTCGTACTAATAATCTTCAATACTAGATTATCTGTCGTCTGGATCCCGTTCCCTCTTACCCTGGGGCTTTGCACATGCTGCTCTCACGCAGGCTGCCTGCTCATCCCACTCAGTCTCCTGCCTCTGCCCGGATGTGTGTCCTCACATTTCAGGATTTAACTTAGGGCACCTCCCCCACCAAGCCCCCCTGAATCACCAGAGCTGGTGCCTACACACCAAATTCATGTGTCGAGGCTCTACTCCCATGGGACTGTATTTGGAGACAGGACTTTGAGGAGGTAATTACGGTGAAACAAGGCTATGGGAGCGGGTCCTAACCCACTCAGCAGGACTGGCAGCCTCAGAAGAGGAAGAGGAGGAGGTCTTGCGCTGTCCCCACAACATGAGGACACAGGGAGAAGGCGGCCGTCTGTAGGCCAAGAAGAGCGCCCTCACCACAACCTGACCGCGCCGGGGCGCTGCTCTTGGACTGTGAGAAAATAAACGTCTGTTGTCTTGTAACCCAGTCTGTGGTGCTTTGTTATGGCAGCCGGGCTAAGACACGAGGGGACATGCCCCTCTTCTCTGCTTCCACATTACCCAACACAAAATGCACCCCACTGTGTTGTCACTTCTGTTTGCCCTGCATCAGGCTGAGTCCCCTGTGGGAAGGGAGACCTCCTTGTTGGATGGGACTGTCCCAGCACTTAAAGTACCTGGCAGGGGGCAAGTAACAAAGACTTGCAGACGGGAAGCCATCAGACCAACTTACATCATCCTTGCTGAGCTCTCAGAAGGATGGTTGGCATGTTAGAGCGACTGTCAGTGACACTGTTAACCTCAGCCCTGCTGGATCATAAGCTCCTCGAGCCAGTGTCTGACTCCTCTCCGCCCTCCTCTCAAGACCCGGCACACCTGAGATACATTTGCTCTTCGTAATGTATCGAGGAGTGAACACCTAGGTGAGGACTGAAGGGCAGAGGCGGGGGGAAAGCGGCTGAGGGAATGGCGGCACGGAGGCAGGAGTGGCTGGGAGGGCGGACCTGACACAGGACAGAACTCCTGCTGCTCACTCCCTGGGACCTGGATTACATCTGTGCTCTAAAGTCAGGCTTGCATTTTAATTTCCTTGCAAAGAATTATTTATCAAGGTGGGAACAGAAAGACAGGGAGCTTAGGTGGAACTGTAAATCATGATAAAGAAGTCAAGGAAGGGTTTTAGGCAAGAGACTAAGGCGACTGAAGAGGTAACCTCAGCAACAGCGTGGACGGGCTGGAGCTGGGGGACAGACAGGGACCAGTCAGGATGCCCTGCGGTGATGTCGGGAAGGACGCTGAGGCTGTGCCAAGGCGGGCGTGAGGAGGGGCGACGTGCGTGGCGTCAAGGTTCTTGGTCACAGGCAGCGTGGAGAGAGGGTGAGAGAGAACTGTCCGGAGTCTCCTCCTGTGCTGTGCAAAGCTGACCCTTCCACTTGGGGCCAGACCTCTCCCCGCATCGTCCCCGCACCTCCCCCCACCCCCACTCACACCCCTGCCCCTGCCGGCATCTACATCTCCCCAACACCCCCATTTAACATGGTGGCCTCTAAATTCAAATCCCAATTACACTTAAACAAGAGTAACATTCAGCCCCTCAGCCGCACCAAGCACGCTTCAAGTTTTCCAAGTCACTGGAGGCTAAGGGGCCGCCGCACTGGCCGGCACGGAGGGGAACACTTCCATCATCGCGGGAGGCCCACTGGGCGGTGCTGGAGGAGGCTGAGACGCGCGCGGTGTGGAGACACAGATGCTGTGGGAGAGACGGGCTGAGGGCAGTGGCACGTGTGGGACACAGAGAGGATCAGAGAAAACCGCTGACCTCCACTGCCAACCAGACAGAAGAGCCTAGAAGAAGGAACACCATTTGTACAAGCACCAAAGACATCAAGCATTTCACAAACAACAGCGTGGAGCCTGCCACCTCTCAGTCGTATTTCTGCCGTCGCCACAGAGGCCAACTTAGGAGCTACCTTTGTGGGGAGGGGGTGCGGTGGGCCAGGGCCCCGGGGGGCTTCCAGGGCTGGCAACATTCTGTTCTGGACTTGGCGGTGGTTCCACACGTTTCACTTTATGGTCAGTCATTAAGTGTACATTCATACTTTATGTGCTTTTTGTGAAGTATATATTATAATGAAAGGTCTTTTTCTGAGTCCAGCGTGGCTAGAGCGCAGCGTACGGGGAAGAAGGCATGGAAGTGAGAGACCCCGCGCTGCCCGAGGTCCGAGGCACGCTGAGAGATTCCAGACAAAGTCCTGCTTTCTCTTGGAAAGATTAAGTTCACAGTAGCTTGGGGGACCACGAACCCCTCAGTGCTCAGCTCATTTTCTAGGACATCAAACTCAGGAAACATTTAATGAACAAATAGAAGGACTAATGAACAAATCAGTTATAAGCAGGGAAATTTGATTTCATTCATTCAACAATGTTTACGAGTGCTTTCAACTTGCCAGGCAGTATTTTTATACTGATCTCTGTGCGTCTGGATCCGGGGGTGAAGCCGGGAAAAGAGGAGGCCCGCTGTGCGCTCACACACACTGCCCCGCCGGCCCTGCAGCCGCCCGGAGCGGGGCGCAGGCAGTGTCTTCACCTCGGAGGAGACGAAGAATGATGCTGAGAGACCAGGCGGCTCACCCGAGACCACATCCTGGTGAACGACAAAGCCGAACCCTGATTTTAAACCGAAAAAAGTAGACTGGGCCCCAGCTGCCCTTTTCCGCGGGGGAACGGATTGAGGCCCACGGCTGAAACAGACAGTAAGTTCACGTCCCGCCTTCTTCTGGGAGAACAGGCCTGACAGACTCATTTTTAGAAGAACATCGGTTGACTCAGCAGGAAACCGAGCCTTCGGGAGTAACTCTGAGCCTCCAGGACAACCGGCTCCCTGGCAAGTCTCTCCGGGGGTTACTCAGCAGAGCTCAGGGGCTTCCCGGGGCTGTGGCAGGACATCAAAGAGTTCACTGTCTGGGGCTGGGATTTGGGTGATGTTAGGAGGTAATGAGGGCTCTGTGAAAAATTAAGAAAGACGCAGCACGTGGGGAGAGCAGAGCGGCGGCAGCTTGCAGACCTGGCAGTGGGAGGAGCAGGTGCTCTCAGAGATGGTGGAGGGTTTCGTCTGGGGGCAGAGTCAGGAGGGCGTCAGCGAGAAACCATCAGCCCCGGCATGTCCTGGCGTCCCTGTCGACGTCTGCACTCCGTACCAACGAGGAGGCAGACCCAAGGGCCAGCGAGAGGGCTGTGCGGGTCTTCACGTTTACGCGACGGTGCTCGCGAGGAAGTGCTTTTCTTGGGCAGAAACTGCTATCGCAGTGCAGTTCGATGGACCTAAGGAACACACTCATACTCTATTATTTTTAACTATAAAATGCAATTTTTAGACGTATACTCATACCCCATGAAACCAGAAATGGCATTTCAACCAGCCGCCCTTGAGGAGGGAGAGCGGAGAGAGGGTGAGCGGGAAGAGATAATGGAAAATAAAATGAAATATAAATCTGAGCCCCAAACCCCTGCAAGGTCTGCAGTGACGGCGCACACCCCCCAGAATCCCCTCCCCATGCGCTCTGGGTCGGGGCAGCCACAGAGAAGTCCGTGAGCGATGCGGGAGGAGGGAAGTATACCCTGAAGGTCAGTGCAGGCCCCAGGCGCTGTGGACCTGTCGGGCAGCCCTGTTTGCCTAGGGCGGCGATGGGACTCGGAGTTCCCGACCTCTGGCAGCCCAGATCCTGGACAGGGGCGCACACAACTCCATCGCCAAGGCACCAGCTCCTCTGCCAGGCACCTGTGCCGCAGTCAGGAGGGGGTCGGGGACAGGTGGGCCGCAGCAGGTCCTGCAGAGCTCGGCGCGGCCATGTCTCCTCCACTCCAAGTCCAGCTCTCCTTCCAGACTGTGCTTCCAACCGGATGCTCGGGCCATGGCCTTCCGACTTGGACTCCTTCAACAGCTCACATAACTCTGTGAGGTCTAATCGTCAAAGTAAATCATCTGTTCGACCTCATGGTGGCTCTGCTTGTCTGATCAAAGCCTGTTACAGAAATTAGTAATGGAAGCCTTCAGCCAGCTCTTATAGAGGCTGCTCAGAGCAGACCCTTAGGATTTTGGGGCACAGCTACGTCAACCTCTGATGAGAACTATTATTTCTGAGAAATGGCTCTTGGCTCACTGATGCCCTAAACGCTTGATCTGAGCTGCCCAACGTGGACTCCAGGTCATCGAACCCACCAAGGGGCACTCGGCCATCACATCAGTCTGCATCTCCCTCAGGCTCCATCAGGCCCAGCGGAACTAAGAAAGGAGCACAAGCAAGTAGCTTGGTGGCCCGTGGCCCCTATTCCGTCCACGCTGCCTCCTCCTCTCAACACCGACTCATGAGTATGGCCCAGTGGTTTGCTCGGACGGTCAAGACTTGAGAAGAACTGGTAGCAAGGAATCTGCAGAAGAGGCTGAGAATGGACCTCCACAAGTGGGCTCAGAGCAGGAGGATCTGTGTATCAGGTGAATACATGGCAGAGACAACCTCAGCAGAAGACCATCTTCACAATAAGGTAACAGCATGACCCATTATGCAGACATCCGTCAGCCTCTTTGGCCAGAATTCCGGTCTGAGTGGAACTCACACACAAGTTGCATGGTGGCAGGGATGGAGGTTATGCCTGGAACTCAGCACATGGGGTTCCACTCAGGAAGGTTAACCAGGCCCCCGGCACCTCTGAGTGTCCCACCTGCACACGATGCTGTCTCCTGCGGTGTCAGCCAGCCACTTACTAACAGGTCATCGCTGGACCACTTGTACATGGAATCTTACTTCCTAAGGACAAATGTTTCCTCCAAACACACACTGACCTGGAAGTGGAGACAACAGGCAAACAAGTGGTCTTATGTGGAAGTTCAGTGTGGGTAGAGAGGTGTGTATGGAGGCCCGTGGACACGACATCAGTGGTGGTGCCTTTATGCCGCCCACCTAGCCAGGCTGGAACACTTTCCCTCAAATTCCCATTCCTGGATGGCTGTGGGTGAGGACTGGCCACCAGCTGCTGGGACCCACTGCAGGTGGGCGAGGATGCCAGGCACCACTGTTTGCTCAGCCGCCACTGGTCCACGGGCTCTCCTCGCAGCTCCGCCTCCAGGGCCCGGCCAGGTGCGTGCGGCTCTGTGGAGGCTGTCCAGCCTCTCCTTCTGGGCCTCCATGTCAGGAAGTGAGAGACAGGTGGGCTCCCATCATCCTTCCTCTCCCCTAGTCCTCGCCCAGCTTCCCTTGCCGATGGCCGGCCAACTCCACAGGTGTTTTGCTGGTTCCCACAACCACATCAGGTCTCATTCGTTACCCACGACACTTGTGATGGTTCTGCTTCTCTGATAAACTGCACCTGACCTGGGGCTCAACAGAGCTGCCCCAAAGCCAACCAGTAAGTGAAGGCGGGTGACCCTGGCCTGCCCTGGGACTCAGCTGGGCACCGCCGTTCCTCTCGTGGAGCGGTCCTCACCCACAGTGGAGGTCCAACCACAGACATTTGATGGAAGTGCCCCGACTGCAGACTCGCTGTCTCCCAGCACAAGTCCCTGATTACTCCTCCTTCTGGAATGAGTTCAACCAAAGGTTCCCGCCTGTCAGCAGCTGAGGAAGGGCTTCTCTGGAGAACAAGACATGACACACATGCTATGTGGGGCTCTGCCAACTGAAAAGAGCGAAAGGCCCCCCCAAAGTCAAACACAACTACTATCAGTTTCTAGCCTTGAAAGTGTGTTGGGGGAGGGGAAGGAAGGAGGGGAAGGCCGGAACCAAAGGTTCCGAACGCTGGGAAACAGCCTCAGAAATCTTTTTTCTTTATTCATTGTTATCAGAAAGAAAGGAGCCCAATTAAGTTTTGAATTATATCAAACCATTTAATTTTTTGTGTTTTCTAATTCATTTACTGTCTTCTGAAATAGTGGATACTTAGAAATCACCTGAATGCATTTCTCCCAAATAGTTCTAAAATGAAAGAAAATAAAATAGTTAACATACAGATCTCAAAACTCAGTATTTCATAATCTTCTCATCAGACCTGGCCTTTCTCTCATTCAGAGCACAAATATCAATGGGTATCGGGCTCAGTCTGCACTGGACTGTTCCGGAGAAAATTCAGAAAACGGGCAGGAATGTGTCAGGAAGGCCCTGGATTGCCAGGGCCTATGGTCCAGCTCCCTGGCTTCTGTCTGTCCGTCTTCAGGTCCAGAAAACATCCCGGGGCGGGGATTTCCTGTAACAACTGAGTTAGATTCCGCTTTGCTGAAATGGCTCTGCCTGTTTACTGGCAGCAGAGAGAAAGATCAGAAAAGTCCAAGTCTGTGTGAAGCAGAGACTTCAGGTGACGTTAAGACCTGAAGGTGAAGGAGGGCGGCTCTGTAAGCGACGGAGGAAGCGGGGTGGGGGGCTGGGAAATGTGAACGCACGGGAAGCCCGTCCCCGGACAGCAGAGCACACCTTCACCCCCACGTTACTCATCTTTCACCAGGAGAGCAAGTGGGCCTACCTCGGCCAACACAACTGCCACCCCACGTGAGACGAGCGCGCTGCCTGCCAGCCCTGGGGGGGAACAAAGCCCAAGGTCTAAAGGCAGACGCCAGAGACAGTTACAGGAAGGTGCTCGAGACGCCAGCGCATCCTTCTGTGCACGAACACGAAAGCCCGCTGCCCACAAAGGGGCGCTCCTGAGGGTCGCTCTAACTTAGAGGGAAGGGAAGGAAAGGAAGGAAGAGAGAGACAGGGAGAGAGAGAAAGGAGGAAGGGCGGAGAACGGAAGGGGGGAAGGGCCGAAGGGCTCTGCCTGAGATGCCCACACATTCTGTACTTACTTGCAGACACATATCCGCGTCGTGGCACCATGACGCAGCCTGGGGGGACGTGCCCAGTCGGCGGGAGGACCCCATGAAAACATACCTCAAAAACTCATTCCCTTTTGGCCAAAGGGAACACATTTCAGTGGCTGATATGTGTTCCCATAGCAACGAGATCTCGCTCATCTTGAGTCACAAGAAAGACAACAACCTGAATCACTACAGGGACTTGGAAGACACCTTAGATGTTTCAAAGTACTTCCCTCTTCAGGTTCAGAATTTCCTGGCCTCCCCATTTCCATGGTGTTGTGTAATGGCCCTATTCCCTTCACCCCAGGCAAGGGGGTGGGCTCCCCAACAGTCTGGCAAGCCGGGAGGCTGCTCCGGCCAGTAGACCTGACACTCACTTGAGGTGATGTATTCCGGAGCTTTTCCGGGACTCAGGGGCACAGCTTCCTCGTAATAGCCTTCCGGGAGGGAGGACGTCGGTAAGGGCGGCGGCCCGCTGTCGGGGGGCTGAGCAAAAAGGGGAGAAACAACAGAGCACAACCATTAGAAGAAAATTCCGTATTTTCACCCCACAGATGTCAACTGGCATCCTCCTCTTTGTGAAGTCTCTGGAGAAAAAGAACACTATCCTATGAAGACGTTCCGAAGCTCAGCTCCCGGCTGGATCCCTGCTGCCCGCCGCGGCCCCCGACCCTCAGCCCGGCCCGGCCACTCGCCACTCGGTCCTTGTCACGCACTGGCGGACGGCATCTCCCGCGAGCCCCAGGCAGGGGCGGCGGCACGCTCGCCCTCACAGACCCCGCGCCCACACCCTGACCTCCCGCATCTCCAAGCCGGCCTTCTCCCCGGCCCACACCCCCGCAGTGGGGACCTCCGGGCGCAGGGCCAGCTCAGATCTGCCCGCGCTCATCACAGAGGGGGCTCTAGTTCCACAGGGACTGAATACACGAGCGTGTCTGCCCACAGTCTCAGCAACCCCCTCCTGTGTGCCAGGGAAACTTTTTAAAAAAGAGAGAAAAAGAAGTCACCTATGAGCCAACCTCTGAAAGAGACTGGAAATGACTCTCCGGAGAAGGAATCTGCTCGTTACTCAGTGCGATCCTGCCACAATTCCTTGACGAGCTCTGAGACGAGGCAGCTGGCTTTGAAGCCGTAACCTCAGAACACGTTGGAGCCGCAGCTCAGGACCATCCAAACTCTAGCCCGCCCCGCTGAAGCACTGCGCTCTCAAACGCTCCTGATGACTTAGGGCAGACCCACCTCTTCTTCCCAAGGACACTTACAGGTCTGCTGGTGACATCACTCACTGGTCCTCACGCGAACAGAAACAGCTGAGGGGCAGGAAAACCGACACCTGCCTGGCTCTGTCCTAAGCGCCTTTGCACTGGCTACAAGTTACATCGGTCAGTCCCTCGGGGGTCCTTCAGGTGGCTGTTCCATCACCTTATGTTTTACAGACACAGATGGTGAGGTTCAGCGTCTGAAGCAGCCTGCTCAACACCAGGCGCTCGTCAACAGCTGGGGTTTTCAAGCACCAGGTCTGCCCATTACAGACCTCTTTCATATCCATGTCCCCTCTTCTCACTCTCTTCCTCTCTCGGAACTAGTGCACAGAGGCCTCAAACGGAAGATCCACTGAGTTCAGTTTCCAAGCAGAACACTGCTCCCAAGAAATTACAGAATGTGAAACCACCACGTTTCACGTAACTCAAGTCTGAATCCAAGAAGTCTTTTGTGAGTGACTCATCACCGCTGTGCATTCAACCCACTCCTTCCTCTCGCCCGATGAGAAAGACGGTTTACTCAAGAGCATCTGCACAATGTCCCTTCACACACTTGAAGGCAGTTGTTTCCCTGCGCCCCCATCCCTGTTCCGAGACGAAATCCCTTCGGCCCCTTCACACGCCCTTTCACAGGCCGGCTTCCGCTCCTCCGGCCCCAATTTATCACTCGGTCTTTTGCACTAGAAACACCAATAAACTATGAGACCTGATTTCAGCAGAGAAAAATACCAGCTTAGAAAGTGGAATCACTTTCTGACTTTAATTATCTATACACCATGGCACATCCAGGTCCTGCCTTTCTAGGTACAGTGATTCAAATCTGTTAAGAGTAGCAGCCAAAAATGATATGATCTGACTTAAGGCAGTGAGGGTTCGTGTCCTGTCCTGCCACGTATCAGCAAACCCTATTCCACTGACAGGAAGCTGGGAGCAGCACTCTACAGTGTACTCTAAACTCTCGGTGCTGCGGGCCAGCCCTTAGGAAGGTGCCCGCGTTGCTGAGGGGACTGAGGGCTGGAATGAAGGAATTTTCAGCAAAACAAAAACGTTGATAGTCTCAACTGCACAAATGGTTTCAGTCCCAACATCAAGGGTTTTGAGCAGGTGCTCTTCTTGGCAAAATAAGTTTTTGTCCAAATGGCACCCCATTCCATTCTGATCACTATTTAATTTGCATTCCACACAGCACTTGAGTAAACACTGGGAAATTATTCACACATATTTTCTGAAGTTTTCTCAAGTTTTATTTATACACGACCAAGAATGAGGGTCCGAGGGGCCGTGGCCTCTTCTCTTCCTTCCCTACCAGGAGGTGGGCTTCCATAGGAGAGGCAAAACAGGCTGACAGCAGGGCCAACAGGACATGGAAAAAATTCCACATAAAGCTACCACAGGAGTGACCCATGACACTAAACTCCAAGATTTTCCAAAGACAAGGAAAAAAGGAACAAGATGGTTCACGTCCACTAAAAGAATCACATCAGATTTCACTGGGAAATAAGTGGTTCTGTTGTTGAAATCACGGCTTTAGTCTCAACTCTGCAACTCGTAAAATACCTAATTTTGTCACGTAATCTCAAAGAATCTCATAATCCCATCTGTCAAACAGATACTGAAGTGGCTGTGAAAGCACTTTAGGAAGGATAAAATGTGATCAGCGGGCAAGGTGGAAAGGGCTGGGACCAAAACGTCACTGTTTCATAGAGACAGGAAGTGACATGGTGGTTCCCAGGGGCTGGGGGCTGGAGGGGAGTTGCTGTTTACTGGGGGCAGAGTTTCAGTCTGGAAAGATGACAAGTTCTGGAGATGGATCGTGGCGATGGTCACACACACTGTGCGTGTACTTTATGCCACTAAAGTGGAAACTTAAAAATGGTTAAAATGCAAAGGTTATGTTATGTATATTTTACCAGGATAAAAACCAACCTTGCTGTTGTCTGTTGGCATAATAAGGCATCACATTTACATAAGGTCTGGCCTTAAAGTCTCAGAGACTGAGACTGCTGTCCTCTACCCCATCTAGACATGATGGGACCCCCCGCCATATAAATGACCAAATAAAAATATTTCTAGAAAGGGCCTTGATTGCGTATCATGCAAATGGTATAGAGCCCACAAAGGAGTCTATACCTGGCTCTTTTCTCTTGGCCAGGAAGGCCCGAGAGCTCCCTAGCCTAGACTCATGGTAGCTCTGAAGCGGAGGAGGGGAGGAACAGCAGCACAGTCACCAACTGTCTCCATCAGACCCGGCTGGTGAGGCGGCTGCTGGGGTGGGGGGGGGCGGCGGGGCGGCCAACGTCAACACAGATGGGACCCATTTCCGGATGAACCAGCCGCCTCTGCAAATGCTCTCTCAGCACTTGCCGCATACCAAGCGCCATCCCTCTGAGAGCCGCACAGCTCTCCTATGAGACAGAAACAGAAATCTGCCGAAAAGCACAGTCCTTCCCAGAAATGCTTTCATTATGCACACGCATGTTTGGGCCCACTCCAGTCTCCCCGGAAAGCGAGGGCACTGACGGGGCTGTGACCGTGCCGCATGCCACCCCGCGCTTTCGGACGTGAAAGGAAGTGCTGGATTCTGCGCAGCGTGCACCCAGACCCCGGGCCGCCGCCACCTGGACTCCAAGGGCAAAACAGGAACGTTCACTACCCCCTTCGCGTACAGAAGCGTCTTCCATATTACAAGACTGACTTCTCGCGTGGTCGTCGGCACTTTCTGTGAGGCAGCGTGAAGAGCAAACAAGCAGAGGAACAGACGCCACCTTCAAAAGGTCAATGTTTAGTTTAAGAGATTGTCAAAACGAGGCACTGCCGACCGACAGGTATAAAGGCTTCAGTTACACCAGATGCATAACTTTAGAGACACACCAGAAAAAAAGGGATGTCAAGGGATGGTTAATAATAACTGTACGAAGCACTGCTCAGCCCTAAAAGGGATAAAAAGGTGGAAGAGCAGTCACTTCTGAGATGCTGACACACCCAGCTGTGACAAACGGAGTATTCACTCAATACGTGCCGTTAATAAAAGAGTTAAAACTGCAATGGTGGTTCACATTTATGAGAAATAATACCTGGTTGGAGTACCCTACATCTTACACCAAAAACAAATCCTCTGCCCCTCAGAACTGCCCTGACAATCATCCCGAACTGCTCTGAGGGCCCACAGGCCCCTTGTGATTTAACCCCCGCAGGGTGTCCCAGCCTCACCTGCAGACGACCCACCCACCCACTGCGCGTGACCAGCCACCCGGAGGGCACTGCTCTCCTCCACTCCATTGGGTCTTTCTCAGGCCTGTGCCTTCACTTGTGGTGAGCCCTCCACCAGGAACAGCCTCTGACCCTCCCCATCCTCACTCTGCTATTAGCTAATTCTCCTGAAGGTCAACATGCCAACAGCAAATGACCACCTGGACAAAGGCCCACTCACCAAAGGCAGACAAGGTACTGAATGACGGGCCTCCTTGCTGAATAACGAACTCACTGAAAAACTAAGAAAGCACAGTGGAGCTGTCTTCAATCCACCTTCACTGACTCACTGAACTGATGGATGTCCTTCGCATCTGTAAAATGCCCTGACTGGTGTCCAAAATGCTAAACGTTTGTGGTCAAGGGGCTCCTCTCCACGGGGCTGACAAGAGTGCCACCAGCCGAGTCTGCACACCTGCTAAGAGATACATGCTACTGTATATAAAACAGATAAACAACAAGGTCCTACTGCGGAGCACAGGGAACTACATTCAACATCTTGTAATCACTGTAATGAAAAAGAAGTGTGTGTGTGTGTGTGTGTGTGTGTGTGTGTGTGTAACTGAATCACTTTTCTGCATACCTGAAACTAACACAACATTGTAAGCCAACCATACGTCGATTAAAGAGACCTCAGTGATCTACCCCAAGGAACAGCGTGGCTTGGAGGCTTAGGGAGGACCCTCCTGACATCCATGTTTAGGCACCAGTTGGGAGAAATCACCCATTGGTCAAACTCCTACTCAGAAATGATTTGTTTAAACTCAACATACCTAAAGCACATGCACATCTCTTTAGAACTCCCCACCTAAACCAGCATTTCTCACGAACCAGCCGTCAGCTGTGACTCCCTCAGCGGGAGGGCCGCTCGTCCACCTGAAAGCACGGCAGCCTGCCGCCCTGCAGCCAGAGACGGGGCAGGGCACGAGTGGGGAGAGTGGAAGGCACAGGCAGAAGAGGGAGAGAAGGGAGGGAACGAGGAAGAAACCGCATCTGAGGAAAAGTCCAAAGAAATGGACTGACTATTCTGTGGTCAAAAATAGTACAAAGCGTTGACCATCCCAAAGTATTCTTTGTCCGAAATGGCACTGAGGCCGATATCCACTCCGCCTGGCCCGGCACGTCGGGGACACGTATTTTAGTCCAGGCCGGATGGCTGGCACTCTGTGCGGCATTAAATTGGAGGCACGACATTCATATGACCACCCCCACCCTCTGACTGCCTCTAGATGTCTGCATCTCATCTGCATCTCACCTTCAATCCTGGAACGCCTTTCCCGACCTGAAATGAGGTGGTGAGGTACAAGGCACGGCATATTAAGGTGTATCACAAAGGTGGTTTAGAAAGAAAAATGAGAGTAAACCAGAACACAAAAACCAGGACATTCATGTACTACTGAGTTCTCATCTAGTTCTTTATCTTGTAGATACACAATATATCAGTAAATAGGATTAATACCACTGACATAGACTTCTGGGCTGTAATTCTGTATTATATCTAAAAACATCAAATGAGATAATGAAAAAAAGCTAATCAAGTCATAGTTCCTACAACAAACACGATGTTTTTTTATTAAAAAAACGAAAACAATAATTCAAAAGAAGTTTATAAAGAAGGAAAAATACATAAAGTCCAAAAAAATTAAAACAGTACATAAGAATCTTATGCTCTCCACAGTGGAAAGAAAATGTATAAAACTAAAGAAAATGCAAATGTGGGCTATACATGTAATTTAAATTTTTCTAGTGGCCACAGAAATTGATGAAATTGATTTTACTAACACATCCTCTTTAACTCAATATATCCAAAATATAATTCACATGTTATCAACGTAAAACTTCCTGAGATCCTCTACATCCTCTTTCCCATAAGCCCCCGCATCCAGTGTGTACTTGAGGCATACGGCACATCTCAGTTTGAGGGGGCCACACCGCAAGTGCTCCGTGGCCACCTGAGGCTGGTGGTCCCTGCCCTGGAGGCTCAAAGAAAACATGCCTGAATGAGAACAGCAACTTCCTGGGAAGAAGGGATATAGTCGACTTTTTTCTTAGGTTTTTTTTCAACCGACTTTCTACAGTGATCTTCTTAGAAATGCAGCATCTAAGGCCCCGTGCAGACCTCGCGGGTCCAAATGCTCACTTTAACGAGCTCCCCGGAAGTCTGAGAAGCACCAGCCAGCACTGGCGGGGCTCGCGGCACGCGAGGCACACACCCTAAGCACTCGAGGTGATACCAGCTCTTTCAGTCCTCACACAGTCTCCCTAAGCAGGTACTATTATTATACTCGCTTGAGAAATGAGGCCTCTCGGGCACAGAGTTCAAGGGACAGTCTGAAATCGTACAAGTAATGGCAGTGCTGGGACCTGGAAGTGGGCAGCCGTGCTCCCCAGTCTGCACCCCGGACCCTGCTACCTCAGGAGATCCCAGCGCAGGGACAGCTTATAGCTCCTAACAAAGTCTTCTCAGATCCGTGAGTCACGGTGGCATCGGCTTTGCTGACACGCCTCCCCAAACAGTATCACAGAGAAAAGGCTGACTTGAAATCAAAAGAACAGGTTACACCTTTTGCCTTCCCCACTTACTATCCAACCTTGAGCACTAACGTATCTTCACTGAACCCACATTTCTTTTTCTGGAAAATGGATATACACACTATTCACATGTTTAGAGGCATTTTAGGGGTTCTTTGGGGTCAAGTTGTGAGGGTTAAATGAAATTATAAGTGAAAAATAGCAAACATGATCTGTGATAGGTGGTAGGAACCCAAGAAGTGCCAGTTTCCTTCTGTCCCCTCTAAAATGACGACTGGGTACATACTGGACACAAGCCACACGCTGGGGCCCAGGCAGGACAGAAACAAGTGAGATGTGGCCCTGCTCCCCGGCAGCTCTCCTCCTGGTACAGAGAGAAGCAGACGACACACACAGAAAGCCAGTATTAGAGAGTTCCTAAGTAGCTGATTTTGCTCTCATTTTGAATGAAAGTCTAATTTCCCTGAGCAAGCAAATCAGAAAACAGCAAAAGGCAGAAAAAGCTGAATGGTCTATGAAAAATGGCTTACGTGAGTATCACCAGATTGCAAAAATAGCAAAAGAACTCCAAAACAAATGTTGAATGCAGAAAATCAAATAAAACACACATTCCTGGACTATGTATATATTTTTCTTCTGGGAAAAAAAAGGGGGGGAAAGCATATTTAATCCCAGAAACAGCATGAACAATGAATGTTAAAGTTTCACACTAAGTTATTCAAGTTCAGAGTTAACCCAGAAAGAGGGGCAAGTCTCCACTATCATTGTTTTGCCTGCTGAATCATCTAATTTTTAAAAATCCGATTTAATTTGATTTCCACGGACATGCAGCTCCAGCAATTTTCAAAGAAACACCAGCCTCTGAAAGGAAGGCTGCATTTACAGCCTCCCACTTAGCTATTACTAGCAGCCCCAAAACCACAGTCAGTGTGTCTTGGGCAAAACGGGGCCTCCCTTCTCCCCGAACTGGGCTTCTATCACCTGCCCCTAGAACCGAAAGTGACCCGGGCATCCAGTGATTCTGTGAGGGTGAGACTTTAACTCACCAGCCACGGCTGCGGGATCTCTGGCAGAGGCATCTGGGGAGGGGCCGGCAGGCTGTTGGGGGTCTCCGGCTTTGCAGCATGATCTTTCACTTCAAAACCTGTATCAAGTGAAACCACAGAACCGGATGAGCAGGAGGAGAAGGACAGCGCCACTAGCGGCCATCACCTCCTCGGCCCACAATGAATACTCTGCAAACATTCATCTTCCCTAATTCTTTACAGCAATCCTGCAAGGTAGGTATTCTTCTCCATTCTGCAGGTGAGGATCTATGGCTGAAAAAAACAGGTTAAAGAACTTAACTGAAACATTACCAGGTAGAAATAATGGGGCCGGCACCAAAGTCTACACTGTCCCCTCTGCGGGCAGCCTCTCAAAGGCAAGCTGCCTCGCAAGCTGCCTCTTCTGAACTGCTGCTCAGGTCAGAACTCACCCACGTACTAAGGGGGCAGGTGCCTTCCTGGGAATCAAAAGTCTGTACTGCCTGATGTAAGCTAGTACCCTCAGGGCATCATGTTCAAGCTGGGAAGACACACATATAAGCAGTGGACTCTCAGAAACCGTGGTGAGCGCTGTACCAGTGAAGGCAGCGAAGTATTATTTATATGCCAAGAGTTCACCTGGAAAGCCTCAGAAAAATGATCACTCAACAATGATCATCTACAACAGGTCCAACATGATGCTACAGGCTGCGGGGAGAAAAAGCCCTGACCTGTGGCGGCTACAACAGACACCGGCAGCCTGGCAGAGGGCTGGAAACGATGAAAGAAAGAAAAGAGAGACAGGGAGGGAGAGAAGGAGGGAAACAAATGGAAACTACCATCAAAACACTCAGTGGATGAGTTTTAAGCGTATAAAGAGCTGAAGAGAACATTAGTGAACTGGAAAAATAACAGTCACTACATCCAGAATGAAGTGTGGAGAGAAAGGGGACAGAGGAAGAGAAAAAGGGAAATCGCGGAAAGAAAACAGCAACTTCTGAGGCCAGAGGCCCAAACTGTGGGGTGTTCAGACCGGCAGTCTGACGTGGCCGAGAGGCGGGTGCATGCGGGGGGGCGGGGCGGCTGAGAGAAGCGCCACCTCCAAAAACAAAGGCAATGGGAGGAAATAACCGCCAGCAGTTGCGGAGCGTCTGCGATGTGTCAGGCACTGGAAGTGCTTCACAGCGCGAGGTCACAGGCTGGGAGATGGGCAGAGATAGAAACAAAGGCAGTTTGACTTTACAGTAGACACGCGTGACCACACGTCATGAAGGGCCTCGTAGGCAGCCCGAGGGCCGCGGTTCATCCATGGACAACGGTAGGTAACGAGAGAGTCCAGGCAGGGAAGCAGCAACGTCATTCAAAGGTGAACATTCCACCTCTGTCCCCTCTCCCACTGGCTCTCTCTAAACTACCGCCCCCAGAACACGATCCTCACCCTGCACGCCGTCTCAGCGACTGGTCCCACCATCCACCCAGGACCTCATGCAGCTCTCGTCCAGTCTGCTACTGGATCCTCAGCCCGCTGCGCAGACTGACGCGCAGAGCAAGCTTTCTGGAACGCAAACCTACCTGTGTTGTATCATGGCCTCGTACACTAAAAACCAAAGAACTGTACGTTCAAATGGGGGAAGTGCACGGTGGGTGAATTATATCCCAATAAAGCTGTTTAAAATAAACCTCTACATCTCATCCAGCTGTCTCCTACCGAGCCTTCAAGATCCCCAGCCCCTCCCCCACTGTCCCTCGCTGCGCTGCTTGGGGTTCCTCTCTGAGGTGCCCGCCAGCACTCTGATGCTCTCGCCCAGCTATTCCGTCTTACATACTGTGCACAAAAGAGGGAACACAGAGGGCCTGAGGCTGCTGTCTTTACAAGGCCCTGATGGCAAAGTTGGTCCTTGGCTGGCATCTGGGAACGTGGATTTCAGAAGTGTTCCCACTGCTCCCTAATTGATGAGGTTGGTTGATTCTGCGTAGACCGAGCAAACAATATGATTTATGCCAAACACCTGCTGGGATGGTTAATTTTGTGTGACAATTGGACTGGGCTCAGAGATGCTCAGAGAGCTGGCAGGATGTGATTGCTGGGTGTATCTGTGAGAATGTTTCTGGAAGAGATTAGCATGTGAATGGGTGGACTTAGTAAAGGGGCTGGCCCTCCCCAACGTTGGGGTGCATCATGCAATCTGTCGAGGGTCTGAATAGAAAAAGGCCAGGGAAAGGTGAACTCCCTCTCTCTGCTCGAGCCAGGACACCCATCCTCTGCCTTCCTCCTCGGACACTGGCGCCTTCAGTCCTCTGATCAGGACGTACACCATCAGCCCCCCGCCTGACTCTCAGGCCTTCAGACTGGGACTAAATGACACCACTGGCCTTCCTGGGCCTCCAGCTTGCAGGGAGCAGATCATGGGACTGCTCAGCTTCCATAAGCATACGAACCAATCCCCAGAGTAAGCCTCCTCTTCCTCTGTCCGCACCCCTCTGTCCTGCTGGTTCTGCGTCTCTGGGGAACTCTGACTGGTAAACCTGCTTTTCTGGGAGCCTGGGACTTTGGCACATGCCAGGCTGAGGGTGCTATGTGACCAGCCCCCTAAAGCCCTTCGGCACTGAGTCTCTGGCGAGCTTTCCTGAACAGAAACATCACACACAGGCCACTGTGTTTTGTTGCTGAGGAAAGAGTGTGATCTGTGTGACCCTCCGGGGAGGCAGAGCAGAAGGAGGGCTGTCTGCGGGATCCTCCAGGCTCGGCCTGAGTCTCCTCCCCTATAGCCTGGCTGTACATCCTTACCACCTCTGTAACAAACCCTGGGCATGAGAAAGTACAAGAACATGCTAGTGGATCTCCCAGTGTTGGGGTGCTCGTAGGGAGCCCCCCAACACACCCACTATTCCATTGGATCCTTAAGGCTTTATCTTTCTAAACCCGGTGACAAACACAGTATGTGGCACCTCGTAAGGCCTTCGGCGACAACTGGATGAATGAAGAAGCTCATTCATGAGTGCTTTTTAGAAAGACAGTAGAATCAAAGGTGGCTTAGAGGCAACAAGAGATCAGAAGAAGAGAAAGGAGAAGCCTGAAGGAGCCGCACCTCTGGATGACTGTATCCTCAGCAGGATGTCTGTGATAACTGCCTTCTTCTCCCGGACAGTTGATGTTAGATATTCGTGGTCCAGGAGTTCAAGAAAGAGACGAAGTTCAACTATTAACTCTTCCATTGCTGAAAACAAAGAGAAGAAAGATACGTGAGTGTTTACACTGCTCTCTAACTGATGAGGTTGGTTGACCCCAATTTGCAGATGTCAAAATATGAATGCTAAATTGTATGCAAAGCATTTCTCTTTTAGCTTAGGTTTGAATACTGTTTTCCAACATGAAAAACAAGATAGTTGAAACCAGGTCATCTAAAAGATTCATGCACCATCTCCTAGATAAACATGCCACTCTTTCCTTCGCTTTTGCTTTGAGGTGAGGATACCCAGCTGGGAGGCGCTCCAGAGCCAGGCTGCCGACAAACGGAGCAGAGACCTGAGGGCCTGACGTCATTGTCTGGTGCCAACTGCATGATATTAAATTTCAATGTCAAGAAGGAGGTGGGAGTTTAAAATGCCAAAGTGTTTTCAAATAACCACTAGGATGTGATTTCGGAAATTCAACACTCAACTCTCTGCTTTTGCAGGGCTGGCTCCCTCCCCAGGAAGACTGTGAGCATGTTTATCCAGCTACAACAAAGACGCGGGGTGGGTGTCAGGGAGGACTGTGACCTAAGTTCTGGTCCTGGCGTCCAACATGTCTCTTCTTTCTGGGATTACGGCAGCCCTTCCCTCTGACAGCCACGAGGCTGGACTACGCAGCTGGTGTCAGCAATTTTTACACACGGTGTAAACCTCTGAGTGATGCCAAAACCCTTTCAGAGCGTCCACGAGGTCAAACTCGTCTCAGGACACTATGATGTTATTCACCTTTTCTTGCACTAGTAGTGCAAATGAAAGGGTGATTAAACTGCTGGCATCTTAGCACCCATCAAAGCAGTGACACCAAACTACACTAGCGGCCGCTGTATTCTTCAGTTCAATACTAGCAGTCAAAAAAAAGTGAATAAAGTTTTAAATGCTACTTTCACTCGAGTGTCTTTGATGGAGCAGCACAATCATGCTGCGTCAGATCTCAGCCCTGGCCCGGCCCCCCCGCCTGGACCCGCGGCGGT